CATAATTCATAATAATAAATATATAGTAAACAAAGATTTTGAAAACGATATACATATATTTTAACGATACTTTTAGATCTTAATGATTTTAAATTTTGATGTTATATAGATACATACAAATAAGCTGAAATTTTAAGCTGTTCTACTTTATAAATAGAAATCCAATATATAAGATATATCTTTGTACAGGTATTTCATAGGATTCCGTTTTCTAGATTCAAATAAATTAAATAACGACTGGTAAAACAGATTTTATGACGATTTTATAACGGAGATATATAAAGTCTTATAAATAAAATTGTGAGTATTAATAATTGCACTTACATCAAATATACTTTGCGATGCAAAGTAATTTTGTTAATGCAAATTTACTTTGTCTACAAACGCGTTAGCGACCCTTCTCAACCGTCGGCAGTAGGTTCATCGAGACAAGATTTATTAGAATTTATCAGAATATTCCCGCGCGCTACGTTGCGCAATTGGCGCGACAGGAATTCGATCTGTTGCATTTTAATGAACCATTTGTCGGCAATAGAGTGATTTAAATGGATTGACTGTCTGTAACGTAATTATTCAAGCGATCGTTCGAAGAGAGAGCCCTCCCACCCCCTCGTAATTTGACGTTCAAAACGATTCCCAGACATGTGAATTCCGATCATGCGATCCGACATCTTTAAATTATTCATTCCTTCTGATAGCGACGCCCACTAGTGTATAAGTTTCTGACGTGATGGAATAAGTGGAAACGGTAGATCGTTGCTTTCTTTCTCGACGAAACTTTCGCATTACCTTCTAATGACTGTTGCTTTAACCTATTTTCCAGGCCCCGCTACGAGAACTCCTGATATCTAATCCCGTACGTTAGCGTCTTAGAGTTTCCAACTCCCACATATATGCCGTTACACTCAAATAAGGATTCCATTATATAATCTTTGTTCGTACCTAAAACTCCTAATAACATTCGCACAAAGATAGCAACTCGGAGGAAATTAGCAGTATCAAATCAATTCAATTTCAATTTGTTTTTCATTCAAGATACCCGAAAAAATACTTTCAGAATTTTTATGCTCAAAACTTGCTAATGTATTTTCATCATGTAACGCAAATGTAATATCACTTTTCGTCTGTTAGATACAAAAAAATTATGAAATTTCGCCTTCCTCAAGCTATAATGACTTGGTTATTTTGAATTCCAAACTAATCCTTCTATCCGATACCTCGCGTGTACCATACGATTACTTCGCGAAGCTAGAACTTCCATCTGACCATTAAAAATTTATCCATGGCTTAACCTCATCTTCTGAAATCCTTGAGAATACATCGGGTAGCTAAGAGTCCGTGGTATGTAGTAACTTGAAAATGCTCGGAGGCCAGATGGAGAGCTCAAGCGCGGTTAGAAGATCTCAAGTCTTAGCTGAGAAAGCAGTCGGCTTTTAGTTCTCGTTACCGCCCCCATTAATACTAAGAACACACTTTGCTATAATATGCTATAATATATATATTTCGGTTGTGACACTTCCCCGACCAGTTGTTATCCGCAGAACGTAACGATGTGGTACAGATCTGTAAATATTTGACACAAATATAAATCGATGATGTGATTTTACATGATTGCAACCTCAAGATTTACGCTTTCGTTGATTCATAAACGATAGTAATGCATGCGTCGCTTTTGATCGATTATGCGATGTATCGATTTCAGAATTTATCAGAACGGGAGAGGGGAAGTGGGAGAAAAGGCGATTCGAAATATGAACAATAGACACGTACGAATCAATGTGTGCATCAATATCCATATATTGAATAACGTATATAAACGTATATTTGATTAACGCGAATGAAACGGTCCGATAAATAGATAGGCGTGTACTCGCGTAATAATCCCGTAGACTGTCATTGTATTTATTTCGCCGTACCAAATTACCAATTTATATAATCTCTTGGGGATAATGCACGTAGCGCCGTTATACGATGTCATCGTATACGCGAGATTTCTGCACACATTGCCATTTCGGAGGACAACATTTTCCGGAAGGTAGTAAAGCGTGATATGAACCGTTGCTGGTGTAATGAGCTGGCAATATAATGTCTAGGCCGGCTTGGTCCAGGCTAGCCTGGAGACAGGACCCCACGGCTGGACATCAATATATTGATGACTATGCGGACGGAGATTAAGAGCTGCCATCCATATCGACACGCTACAGCCCTCTTGTAACGTCACATATCGGATATCATTAATAAAGAGACTGTACTTTCCTCCATTTCTGACGAAGAGCTATAATAGGTATTTTGATCCGAGCTAAGAAGGTATGGGAAAGAGGAGATCTCTTTCCATTATACCATAGAGATGATAATGATGTGACATATATATCCTTGTTAGAGAATATCCAAGGAGGATGAAATGTGATTGTGATTTGGAAAATATCAGAACTATTAATTTATTATTTTAATGCAATATCTTATTGATTTTTCGCGCGTGGAGCGACTTGTCGTAATTATCGGGTTTTTTCTGCGATGGTTTATTATCGACGATAAAGACTATCAAAGAAACGATTAATATTTTAATATCTATCGTGCAGCGTCAAGTTGTACAAACAACATAATACGAATAAAATCCTTGACCGTTCTTCCATTATTAATTACAATGAATATTGCCAGCAGACAAAAGATATATTAATAAATGACAAGATTTCGAAATAATGTAACCACGCAAGCATGCTTTCAAAGGTGGAAAACGTTGGAGATTGTATCAGCGCGGGAAACTGCATAATATTGATTCACAATAAAGTGCGTATCAAATAGGCGGATGAGAGGATGGTATGCGGAAACGAAATGGAACAAGCAGGAGAAGCTGCGGGCTAGTAAAGGCGAGTCATTACGTTGTCGGTACATCGCCTCTTTCGATACATTTCGAGTGCGGTTACGTGACACTGCGCTGTATCCACCGAGTCGAGTGGTAGATGGGCTCGGGAGAAGGGGTCGGCGCAGATACGGGGCAGAGGAAATGGGAGAATAGGGATGAAAATGGGATAGGACGACGACGTGGGATCGGTGCGGAGAGGCAGCGCGGTAATCGGCAGCAAGTGAATTGGAACAAATGCAGACAGACATGAGGTGGACTACTGGACTCTCCCTCTCTTTCTTTCTTTCGTTCTCCCTCTCTCTTTTTCGCTTGATACCGCAACCAAGCAATATAGTATAAATCGGACTATCGCTATTAATTGAGTTCGTCCCTATCGTCGATGCGCGCAACGTCCCCTACTTTGTTCGACCTCAAGACGAATCGATGAAACGTGGGAATATAGAAGTGACGAGGGAGATGATGAAGTAGATATTAGGGGGCAGATAACGGAATAACATATGAGACAACTTATCCTAACTTATTACATTATTCTTTCTAGTTCATTGGATCATCGTTAGAGTTAGAATGTATTTTTTATGCGTGTGAAGTAGATACAATCAAACGTACGAGACAGCTTCGAAATGTAACTCACGTTGCTCTGTGTGTGTGTATGTGTGTGTGTGTGTGTGTGTGTGTGTGTGTATATATATATATATAATGCACTCGTCCGTGAAAATTATTATTCGTGAGGCTTCATTTACTTTTCAAAGTGTTCACACCCATTATATTAGGTATTATATTAGAAAGAGGTTGCCAGCACGCGGCAATCTTGATTTTGGTCTTCGAACGTAATATCCGGCAGTGCTTGTAGACGACGCGAGGAAGTAAAACTAATTTCGTAAATCCTTTAATCTACGCGTTTGGTGGAAAGCTGAGGCGAGATTAAGGGAAGCGGACTGAATGGGCGAGCTCCTGGGTGTTTGATGGAATATGATGAACGAGGCACGTAAAACTTGGTTATTGGTATACCAGATCAAATAGAGAAAAAAGAAGCAACTTTAGTCCGACGCGCCGCAATTAAAGCAGTTGCAAAAGTCACGATACGCAATCGGACTTAATTAAACAATAGTTGATAACGTTCCTTGTCATTTATACATTGCATTCATTCACGTGCAAAATCTGGTATTAACTTCTCGCGTTCTTATTGAGATATACGTCTCTGATTAAATTTAGAGTTTTCTTATGTTGTTGCTTTTTTAATTCGAAAATTGAGTATATTTTGATGGAGAATAATACAACTGAAGTTACTTACAATCGAAGAAAGAAAGTAAATATTGTTATATCAGTTTGTTATGGTTATCGGAACAAGTATTTATTGAAATATTGAGATTGCCATTACGCAACGAGGTTATTATTTTACTAAAGGTTTATCCAACGAGTGATATTTTTATATCGACAATAAGACAATATTTTAAATTATTGTTAGTATTGAATAAAAACTTACAGTCTGTATATTATATCTCATAAAATTAACTGATAAACTTAACCATATAATAATAATACATTTTATATATAAATATTGTTAAGCATTAAATGAAGACACTTTACTACAGAAGAACAAGTTATAGGGTGTGCACTAAAATTGCATCTCTCGATCGAAAAATCATCGTATTGAACAAATATTATAATATTATATTGTCATTGGATTCGTCCATGAAAACAGGATCAACTGTAAATCAAAAGTAGATATCGATGAAAAAATAAACAACGAAACAGTGATTGTTGGCAAAATCACGTTTTTTCGGTATAGATTCGGACGACTGCAAATATACACGAGTATCGTTCCGTGAATATAACAAATATGGAATCGTAACGCAGATTTACGACATGTATCGAATATAAATGCAACGCATATCAGCAAGTTTGTTTTCTTGCCAGTTTATTTGTTAGAATATCTAAGCTTTATGTTAAAAAATGCAACGTAAATTTAAAATTAACGAAAAATGAAAAAAGAAATATCTTTAAATGCAAATAATAAAGTCATTTAAGTATCTTTTTTTTTTTTTTTTGAAATGCAATCGAGATGCTGTACTAAGCTTTTTTTGTAGAAAGAACTAAATTTACAGTAAAGAATGCAACACTGAAGGATGTCACTTACTGCCATATTGTTGTGCCAAAATGGAGGCAAAGACCTGACCGGGACTACGAGCGCCTCTTGTAACGGATGAACTTGACACGGGCCCCACAGCGTGACGTGCGTTATCTTCATCATCGCTGCTGGATTGGCCACCGGCTCCATAACCGCGCCGTTCTCTCCATTCCAGGGACCGCTGACGGCGCAGCCCACGGCCCCCATTTGCATGGCCGCGGCCCAACGTGCCCTCGCTGTCCATCACTGCAGCATCTACAACAAGCGATTGACAATTTATACGACAACGATCAGATATAATAAGTTTTACAAAAAAGTATTAAAAAACTGAACGTTCCCTTGTAGATTTTATTATGCGTGTAGGAAATATCTCTTTTATAATTCGAGATAGATTTCTAAAATGTATTGAAATCAATTCTACGTTCGAAGCATTCACGATGTACAAGAGAGGCGTAGTAAATTCTGCTTTTAATACGTTTGTCAGAGAGAATCTTAAGATTTAATACGCGTCAGAGAGAATCTTAAGATTTACGTGAGAATGCCAAATGGCGAGCCAAATATAACATGAAAATTGTTGCGTGGAATAACAATGATGCCATTACGTGGAGCGCCGATAGCACGTCAATGTCGAACAACAGCGACTCATTAGGCATTCACGGCCGTTGCTCGGAATCATTCAGGGCCGAACGAAATCGAATTGCATACTCAACATTTGCTGATATTCAATGCAGATAATTCTGGCTTTGGTACTGACAGGTTTGTTTATATCTGGGCTGTAGGATATATTAATATGCATTGTCAGTCTTAATACGTAAAGGAGATAATGTTCTGGTTTCGATAACATTCCTAATAACGAAAGCAGTTTTTGAACTTATATTTGATAGATGAAAAATACAAAGATTGATAACGTTATATATCATACGTAATACATTCTATATGTTTCGATTATTTAATTCGATATGTTAATTCAAATAGTTGGTAATCGAATAGTTTCGATTACCAACTATTTGAAGTGATTTTATTATGTTTAAATTCGATTTCTAATTTTGATGATATAATTGGTGAAAACTTATCATTAATATGAATATTTTATATTCGTTATAAGCGCAGTAGTTAAAGCAACTTTAGATTTCCGTAGAATTTTCTGGCTGACCTTCCTTCAAATAGAGACCTCTGTAGATCGATAGAATTGAAGATCTTGAATGTGTATGGTGGCTCAAGATAATTGAGTGGTGGATGCCTCGAAATTCCCATGGAGACGTCCTCGCTCGTCGTTGCTCTCCCTTGATTGCAGGGACTGCTGATTGATGCTCCAAGGGAGAACCGAACAGTGATGTCTTAAGATCACTCACTGTTCCTTGGACTATGAAATTTCAGTTTAGGTCTGGTATCACAAATGGGATGGCTGTGTTACATTTTCGGTCACGTATTCGAAGAACAGAATTAATGCTAATCTATTGTCATTGTCGGCACGCGAAGATAGCTCATCGATTATATTTGCACGATTAATGATACGTAATAATTGTGGACTTTCAAACGTGATATAAATATGAATATGGCAAAAACAATCTCATGAAGCGCGCACGATCCTGCGTTTCAATAAAAGAAAATAAATACGGCCGTTTACCGATGGCTGTATCCGATAGAATTGGTCAGGGAATTTGCTCGGTAAATATTATATGAAAATTGAATGAGATGGAAGTAAATTAAATTCTGTATATGTGGTAAACACACACAAGCTGCGCCAAATCGATTTTGTAAAAGTACAATAATGGTTGTAATATATACGTCATAAATTTATAATACGTATTTGATAAACAACGCTTTCGTGCACACGTTTTTAAAAATGATTCGGTATAATCATCGTAATACTCAAATGTTGTAAATAGAGGGAACCGCCGCGTTGCAGAATGACGAGCTTTATCCAGGCATAATTCCAAATCGGGCGAGGGAGGAATGGGGTGAGGGTTTAAACGAGACGGTTCATAACCACGAGCATATCGGCGTGAATTCCCAGAAATTTGCAACCGTGAAATTTATGGGCACACATCCTGCGGTGTCGGGCGTCACGTTAATAAATCTCAATGCGTCGCAAAGCCGGGCGAGGGATAAACCGTACTTGGGAAACGCGCCCTTATGCATCGCCGTGCACCTCTCACAGCCACTTTTCTCACTTGCTTCAATAGTAGCTAACAGGTCGCATCCTCTACACACAAGGGCACTTTACGATGTTTTGTTTTGTCGGCCCTTCGCATCCTTTTTCGTTCGTGTAAGTGCGTTGAGAATGTGGGCGACTTGTCAAACTGTAAGTGAATCGGAAACCTTCCGCGGTGCGAGCCGAGTTAACGAAGAACCCGCAAGCATAGTCGAGTGCCTCTTTCCGAGCAAAACGAAAGGAATATTAAGAATGATCTTCTGTCAATCTTCGTGATTTCATTTTATTGACCGATATTTCTCATAACCTTGATTCTTAACTAAGCGGCACTGAAGCAGTTTATACGTATGATGCGTGAAGTGATGCTTTATATCAATCGTGTCAATTTGACGTTCGTATCCTGTGATCCTGTGATCCTCTTTATCTGACTTGGATATTGATTCTGTGCAACAAATTTTATTTTATTAATCAATAAACAATAGAAAAGCAAACAGGAATATTAAAACATATTTGATAAAATTTCATGGTTTTTTTATAAATATAAAAATAATAACAATAAGAATCTCATTTTTAGACTGAACATGTGAGAACACAATCGATAAATTAGAAACCTATACGGCTATAAAAATAAATATATATTTTGTTTTTTTAATTCATTTTACTTATTAATTAAAGGAATCATACAGTTACTAAACTGTAAATTAGATTTGCGAAGTTATACATTTTACTTATGTATTTTAAAATTTAAATTACTTGTTATTTAATAAATATTTAATTATCGTAGAACACTTTTAAGACATTTTACTGTGTAAAAATTTTTGCACCATTTATTTTTGATAAAATCGACTATAGTTATATTATTTGAACGATATTCTTGAACAAGCCTGTGTTTTGAAATTAGTTTTGTGAATAAACGATCGAGGAATAATTTTCAATTTACGTGCAAGATTACAGCAACGTTCAAGGCGCAGTTTTTCATGCCATCGTAACAGAGGAAAAATTCCATATAGTGGAAAAAAAATAGATAATGTAGCATTGTATACATCCTGCAGTATTACACACTGTACTGCCTATTTCACGGTTGCGAACGGCATTCGTCGTTTTAATAGAAAATTTTTACAAGGGGTCGTAAACATAAAGTAGACTATCCAGCCGTGGGAAGCTCTTATTGCTATAACTTATAACACGTGGCTGATAATATAATGGGCCTGTACGATATAAAGTGCTTCACGAAGAGGGTTGTCAGGGACTTGCTGACTGCGAGTATGACTCTGCCATTATCACATACTGCCGTCTTGAACATAAAAGTTTAACATAAAAAGCTTTGGAAAGCATGAAATGTCTTTTTTTTTTAAAGAGACATTAACCTAATGATTATTTATAATCTGACGACAATTAACGAAAAGATTTTACTTCATAAAGACATTTGACAAAAATAAAGTAGTCTTATTATAAAATCAAATGTAATTAAACACATGAAGAGTTTTGTATGAAAAAAATAATAGATAAAGCGCTCGCAAGAAAGGATTAAACGTAAGATCTTTCTCTTGTTACGTATTGTAATGAGATATCATGGTTAATAAGGTTGTTGCAGGGATGTTCTAGGCAAGTTCTAGGCAAAGTAATTTGTGTCAAAAATTATAATCTTACGAAGGGAGGACAAGGTACAATTTCGGGAAAATTCGTTGGCTGTATCCGACGTCAGATATAGGAGACGAGCATTATAGTAGAAGTTCTTAATATTGAGGCATGTCGCACGTGTTTATTATTGCCAAGAAACTGTTTCCACTTGTGTAATAATAAGTCAACAGAAACGCGAAACTTTTCCACCATTTCTCAACGACAATACCAAATTGCTCTTGTAAGAATAACGAAAGTATGCAATGCTTAGTTCTACGCGTACCGTTTATCGTATTAAATAAACGAAAACTTTATGCTCACGGGGGAACATGCAAAACGTATGTCAGATTTCACAGTATTCGTGGCGCGCCGCGATATTCGCTACTCCGTAAATATAAATCAGTCTGCGCGTGTCGTAACCTCTTAGAAGGGGGTTAAAAATCCTCAGCCACGCGTATATGTATAACCTGCTCGAAAAGTCGTCTCGTAATACCTACACTTGAGAATATAGTGGCACTCCGACTTTCAGACCACGAATTCAGTCTTAGAGAAGGCATACTATAAAAGGCTTTAAGAGTTTCCCCGTGTTCGTGCGAATTGAGTGGGATTTGCATACCACGTCGCGGCGAGAATTTCACGAGAAATGTGGACCGGGTTTTTAAACGGCATCTAATGAAGGTAACATTAGACGACATTGTTCAAGTCCGCCACGGTGCCATTCACCTTTTAAGAATGTAAGAAGGGCATCTGAATGCATGAAACATAGACTGGCAGCCTGTGTAGCTAGATATGGTTTGAGAAAGACTTTTGCATATTCATTGGGATCGCGTGAACCCCTTGCTCGTCAAGAAGGCACAGCCTTAAACATTAAATACACTCATCCAGTTTCAGCCATGGACCACTTCGATATCATCGCGCCGACTAATTATACAGCTTTAATCTGAGTAACATTTTCGAAACATCCATGAGGCACTCGTCGACTTTGGTGATAGAAATTTGAATACACGTTAATTATAGCATATGTCGCTGTTTATAATTTAGATAACGCATATTGCATGCACAGGCATAAATTTACTTTGTGCTCGGCGTGTGCATTTCTCGGCGCTTTGCCGTACGTAATCCAAGATACACAGAATTATATACAGTATTTTGAATAGATAATATTACTGCATTTAACGTTCAAACGTTCTTCCATAATAAACGAAGAGATTATTAGTAATCTCATGGTGAATGAGAGATGGATAATACACTCTTCGTTTATTAATTCCTGTTTAAATATTCTTATATTATGAATCATGTAAATAAGAAAGGTGTTTTTTATATCTTTAATAATTTTTTAAATGAATAATGAAGTATTATTACTTTGCGATAATTACTGTAGTCCTAGAGAAAATTTGAGGTTATACGGAAATCCCAACACTTGGCTAAAATTGATCTAAACTCAGCCGTCAATCATTCCTCTGGATCAAATAGATAGTAC